TTTCCGATTTTCGTGCAAAAAGCTTTTTAGACGAAATTCTCTGAAAAAGCATGCGGGAAGAACCATTAGGAAAAAGGAACTACATGGGAGTGTCTGGATAAACCTTACTTGGAGGGTCAGGGGGACTTAGCAACTAGGTTAATAATGGGGATAATTGGGTTAGTATATGGGTTATAGGGGTTATTACCCTACATACTAAGTCCCCATGACCCTCCAAGTAGGATTATAGGGATCATTCTTAGAGTAGAACTGCCATCAGAGGCTCGGGCCCTCTGCTGCCGGGAAGTCCACTGCGCTATCTGCAAACCTCCTTGAGGTCCTCCATGGGGTGGATACTTTGGGGTCTAGGGTCTAGGGTTTAGGGTACAAGTCCTGCGTGTAATAGTACCATAAATCAGAAGGTTTGGGGTAGATGGGGTCATGCAGGATTATGGGGTCATGCAGGATTTTGGAGTAGGAGCCGTAGGGATTGCTTTTGATGGGGGGTGTTTGAGGGTTTAGGGTTTTAGGGCTCGGGGTACAGCTAGGGATATGTAGGGTTTACATGGGAGTTGCCAGAGGAGTTGTTATTCGACTTCAGGCCGTAAGCTTCGACATTTTCGGGATGAATTAATCAGCAGAAAGCCCTGAATCCTAAACCGTTGAAAAGGCATGTTGGTTCTTCGAGTTTGGCTCTTACCCTCCATATTTCCACAAACAGCCGCAATGAAGAATATGACAATGTAGTCTCTCATAGCTTCCTGAATATGGGGCCTCGGGCTTTGATGAACTTGATTCTACCAACCTGGGGCTTACCCCTATAACCCCTGAACTCTCACCTTTTGGAAGATGGGATTCTACTGGTTACAAGGTGTTGTTAGCTTGAAATACAAGGCTCCTACTGCTTATGGGAGAGTGGGGGAATATATTCCTAGAATAACCATCCCGATGTAAGGCCCCCATCGCACTGTACCCACAATGTTGGGTCCTGATGAGTGTAAGAGACCCGCTCCAACAACATGGATTCCCTCATTAGTGGAATCGGCCCCCCCATAAGCAAACCTGGATATTTAAAATGAGTTTAGTAGAAGGGATCGAGATCAGTTCAGGTAAAAGCTCACAGGGGTTTCACCAGGCATTTAGAAGGGCTTCTCTTTAATTCTTTTCAGAATATTTGTTTGCCGCGAATCTTCGCACAATCAAGGGGCTCGAATGAATCAGCGGGTGCTGAATAATTTCGGCGAAGCTTCGCACGATTCAGGACCCCCACGCTAACCGGGATCCAACAATTTTCCCTGCCCCACCCTCCCTTAAACACAATTGTATACCAATAGTTCAGACAAAGGGATGTGTTGTCTTTTTGACGGCCACTTGTCAGAAGCCCCTAAACCCTAAACCGTGCTAAGTCCCAATCCTTTGCAATCAGCATCAGAGCTACCTACGAGCTTTCAGAAGCCTAACAACTGTGAAAATCAAAGGCGGACCTCTCAGCAGAGCCTTTGATACCGTTTTCGGTTTTCGGTGCATGCATGTAGGGTTGCTTTGTGAAGGGTGCTGAGTGTATGTCTATGTTGACATTTCGAGGGGGGAGACCTGACTGAAGATTCCCGCAATAGTCTTACCTGTTCTTGAGGGAGAGTGGGGGAGTGAATATACGTACCATTAGAGGGTGCATATGGAGATTATATAGGGATTGTTTATAGGGATCCACACCCCCACTCTCCCTTAAGCACCAGTAAGTAGTTGAGGGTTTAGGGTTTAGGGCCACCTGTCTAGATTCTTCCGCAGCATGCGCTTGTCAGGGGATTCCCTGCAAGTCAAACGAGGAAAGTAGTCCCAAACAAGAAGGATGTCAGTGTGAGCACCAATATCCGAACAGCCTATAGCCCTAAACCCTAAACACCTAAACCATGTCTTCAACCTACAACCTTGCCTTTCGAGACTCAAACCCTAACACGCCGTCCATGCCAGAACCCTCAACCCCAAATTGTATAGTGTAGACTAAGGAAATCCGAGTAGGGTTTAGGGTTTAGGCTTTTAGGGTTTGTAGGATGTAGGGTTTAGGGTTTCATTTTGGTAGGCTTTTGGGGTTCAGGGCTTAGGAAATGAAATGTCTCCCTCAGCCCTAAACCTTGGCAGCTGGAGGCCTCGCAACCCAATTCTAAGTTGGAGTTGAGGGGTCTGTGGAGCATTAAGAGGCTTAGGGAAAACCATGATCCAGCTGTAACTGTAGTTATATCGCAGCTATAGCCATAGGCCTTTGGTTGCTTATACTTGGGTTATGCTTACCAACGTGATTGCGCTACAAAGACAATAAAACCCTAAGCAACCTTCTTGGGCTTTACCTACAAGTATAATCGGGTTATACAGTAAACCCTATAGAGCCAATGTGTGACCGTGTAACCCCTACATTAGCTCCTTTTGGCTGGGTGAGAGTTATCCTGAACCCCAAGCCCTAAACCTTAAGCCCTAAACCCGGAACCCTACACCTTCAACCCTAAACCTTAAACCCTAAACCTTAAACCCTAAACCTCAAACCCTAAACCTTGCACTTTAAACCCTAACCTTAAACCCTAAACCCTAAAGCCTGAACCTGCATCTAGGTCCCACCCGGCGCCATGACAGTGGACGGCTCCGTCATTCGCGATACCAGCCAGAGCTGGGACAAGGTCCCATTATTGTGTGGGGTAATATAGGGATTATATATATATATATACATTTTTTATAGGGTAATGTAGGGGTAATACAGAGAGAGAGCAAGAGAGCAACATAGGAAACAGGGAGATACATTACATGTGTGGGTTGTACTCAAAATTATGGGCCCGTTTTTTGGGTTTAGGTTATATTACGGCACCCAATGTTTAGGGGTACAAAAAAGGGACCCTAATTTTGGGAACTACCCATATCTTAGGGTTTACTGGACTGTTGTAAACGAACTGAAACTAAGGTGACGTAATATAGGTCGGGTCCACAGGGCTTAGGGGAGTTCGGTCTTGAAATGCCATATGTGATTTGGGTATATAGTACATAATAGTGTTTCCTTTCCACAACAGCAACCTAGTTCAAGGACCGCCGGGCAGGTATCATACAGCGTAGATCCCCAAAACAACAACATTTCTAGATGTGGAGCCGTAGCGTTAGGTCGCCAGCCAAAGGACTACTCGACTGGATTGCTTCCTGCTGTAGCTAGTGGATTTTGGGGGCCTGGTCCTCATGGGTAGCATTGAGGACCAAGTGATTCAGTCACTTCCTTTGTACCCTTAGGGTTTGTACCCTGGGTTTCGCATCACTAAGCCATAGCATATAGGCCTTACATAGGTATTTGGGATCCAAAGCCCAAGGTTACCCCTAAGGGTTTTGAAAGATTGCTTAGATTTGGGGTGGAAGTTTGAAGCTGCCCAGCAAAAGCGATAAGGTCAACATCTGCCTCGAAACTTGAAACAGATAACACACTCATCAAGTTCCCAAGCACTATATATTGGCCCTGACACAAAATAAAACCGTGCATAATATGAGCCATAGTCTAAGCTCCTTGAAGGGGGTTGTATAGGGGATTATATGGTGTTTAGATGGAGTGTCCATCTGGTTCGGCCACTACAGCAATGGGTCATACAGCTACTTACCCGATAGTTTCCGCATTGTTGTTGCCCTAGGGATCCAAATTGCCCAATGTAGGTAATATTTACAGACTGTAGCGCCCAATGTAGGTATCATTTATATACACCCTAAACCGTAAACCCTAAACCCTAAACCCTAACCCGCCCAATGTAGGTATCATTTATATACATGGCTTCCTAGGGTTGTGGTTATATGATTCCGGCCATGCCATTACCTGATAGGTTCTGAGCCTTTGACGTGAACTCATAGTTTGGTATTTCCCACAGAACTCGAAGCTAGAGATTGTTCATGAGAGCTGACATGCATGGGACAGATTTAGGCAGTATCTCGACTTGAACCATAAAGAGCCACAGCTAGATGATGACTTTCGCCGATTGTACGTAGTAGTATGAGGCTTTTAACATGGCACGCTTCATTTCTCGCGGTTTTGAGTGGTTCTGGAAGGGCTTCCTTCAAGGTTCATAGCTGTTCATTTGTGGGTTGCTGTATCCCTAGGGTTTAGGGTTTAG